TGTTACACTAGATTCACTTTTGTGTTATGTGTAAATGTAATAAGTAATGCCTTGCAAGATAATATCAGGAAAAAAAAATATTTACACCTACCACATTTATCAGTTTAGTAAATTTAACTATAGAAGGAACATTAAGCACAATCTAATATGAGGATTTTATATTTATTAAATAATTTGAATTTAGAAAATACTGCCAGATAAATACTACTTTTATTAATTTAAATACTTATTATAGTATGATTTAAAGTGTTTTAGTACAAATTTGAATGCAACCTTTTTCATTTTCTTATACTTTTATTTATCATCACGTACAAATTACGTGTTAATCTCACGCAGTATTATATTCCGTAAAAGTTGATTGAGAATGTTAGTAGTTTTATAAAAGTAACTAGANTATATATATATATATAGTGTATGAAAACAATATCATGATCGTGTAATCACGTATATATACTATGTCTAGAGATTCTCATTAATTGTGCCCATGTGTCTAATTAAAGAAAAAAATGAAAGTGAATGAAGTCAGATCAGAGAGTCAAAGAACATTGATTAGTTAGTGAGGCCAGATCAGAAAATAAAAAATTATTGGTAAGTTGGTGAAGCCACATCAGAGAGTAAAAATAATTGGTTAGTTGGTAAAGCCGGATAAGGAAGTCACTAATCACAGATAATTCAAATTTTTAAGGAACTAATCACATGATTCAAATTTTTAAGATGTTCGTTCTTTCTTTCTAGTTGAAGAGGTGTTAAATTATTTTTTTTCCTACTCTTTTTAGCAACAACAACACAATAACAAAACCAGTTTAATCTCATAAATGGGATCTGGAAGGGTAGTGTATATACAAACCTTACCCCTACCTTATAGAGATAGAGAAACTGTTTTCGATAGACCCCCGACTCAAGGAACAATGGAGATAAAGCAACCAAGTAGCAAAGAATAGTAACAATAATGTAATATTGTAACGGGCGTGAATGCCACAACATGTAATAATAAAGAACCATGAATAAGAAATTACAAAAATAGATCTAGTACTACTGGTAAGCTTAGGAGGAACACACTACTATTTGTCAACCTACAACCCTAATCTTCGACCTTCACACCTTCCTATCGTGGGTCATATCCTCGGTAAGCTGAAGCAATAACATGTCCTGTCTAATTACCTCTCCCCAATAATTCTTAGGCTTATACTCTTTTTAGCAATGCATATATATTACGTGTTAATTGATCATGATAAATATATAAAATTGACTATAATAAATTGAGAAACATTATATGTAACAATCCAACCCATAAGTGATTGTTTGCTTTGGGCCTAGGACCGCATATTCTAAAAAGGAAAAAATTATGCGATACAACAAACATATATATTGTATTTATAATTCGTAACTATACTTCCAGAAAATAATCATTCATAGGTATATTTGAATTTTATAGCAAATCCACATATATTACTTAAACAAGAGATCAATTGTTTTGAACTGAAATAAGAGAGCAACAAGCTCTCATAGTTTAATTGGTTAGAGCGCCCACTTTGTAACGACCCGACCGGCCGTTTTGAGCTCTAGCGCATCGTTCGGCGGTTTGAGGCCTTTAGTAGCTTCACTTCAGGTATTATGACTTGTACATGTGGTCGGAGTTGAATTTCGGGAAGTTCGGGATTAGTTTTGAAAAAAAATTCTAATTTCGGAAGCTTTAAATAGGAAGAATTGGCTAAGGTGTGACTTTTGAGTAAACGACCTCAGAATCGGAATTTGAAGGTTCCAATAGGTTCGTATGATGATTTCGGACTTGGGCTTATGTTCGGGTTGAGTATCGGATCACCCGGGAGCGTTTCAGCGCTTATTATGGAAGGTTGGTATTCTAAAAGTTTAAGAAATTCTTAAGTTTGACTTATAGTGAATTTTAATGTTATCGATATCCGTTTGGGATTCTGAGCCTTGAATACCTTCGTTATGTCATTTATGGCTTGTGTGCAAAATTTGGGGTCAATCAGACTTGATTTGATAGGCTTCGACGTCGAATGTAGAAATTGAAGTTCTAAAGTTCATTAAGCTTTAATTGGGGTGCGATTCGTAGTTTTGATGTTGTTTGATGTGATTTGAGTCCTCGAGCAGGTTCATGTCATGTATTGGGACTGGTTGGTATAATTGGACGGGGTCTCAGGGGCCTCAGGTGTGATTCGGGGTGATTTCGGACCAAGTTTGGCTGAGTTGCTGCTGTTAATGTCTGGTATCTGGTTTTGTTCTTCGCGAACGCGAAGGTGTTCACGCGTTCGCGAAGAAGGATCTGTTGGTTGCTGACTTTTGTGCTATGCGTTCCCGACTGGGGCTTCGCGTTCGCGTTAGGTAAAAGGTGAAGCTACTCGTTCGCGATTGGGACATCGCGTTCTCAAAAGGGAATCTGGGCTGGTGAGAATTTTAGCCTTCGTGTTCGCTAAGAGTGAACCGCGTTCGCGAAGGTTCGCCTGGTAAAGCATCGCGTTCGCGAGATGTGACTCGCATTCGCGAAAGGCATTTTTTGAGCTGGAGCTGGTATTGCTTTGTGAACTCGATAGACTTGCCGCGTTCGCGAAGAAGGTCGCATAGGCAGTGTATAAGATAGCAAAAACGGGGTTTGGCTATGGGAGCCGAGCTTGGGGCGATTTTGGAGGAGCTTCTTCGTCACCCATCACAAGGTAAGTGATTCTCACCTATTACAAATTAAATACATGGTTTATATATGGATTTAAACATGAAAATTAGTAAAAATTTAAAATTTTAGTAGAAAACCTAGAATTTGATATTTTTGGATTTTGATCACGAAGTTGGAAATGGAATTAGGAATAAATCATATATTTGAGTTCGTGGTGTTATGGGTAAAGTTTATCTTCGAAATCTTTCGAAATCCGGGCACGTGAGCTCAAGGGTTGATTTTATCGACTTTTCGTGCGGAGTTGGGAATTGTTTAAAATGATTAATTATGGGTATTAGAATATATTCTGATGGGTTTGCACATTTGTTGAATAGTTTTGGATCGTCGGGCATTGGTTTGAGGTGTTATAGAGGTTTTGGAGCCGGTTATGGAACTTCGGAGCGAGATAAGTCTCATGTCTAACCTTGTGAGGGAAAAACTACCCCTAGGTGATTTTTATTGTTATGTGCAACTAGTTGTGGGTGCTACGTACGCACGATGTGACGAGAGTCCGTGCGTAGCTAAAGCATGTTTATGTCCGGGTAGACTTAGGATCTTATCATGTAATATTTGAATTTTTTGAATTCATTTTGCTGGCTTATTTAATTGAAGTTATAATTGAAATCGATTTAGAAATAAACATATGTACAATAGGCCAAGCCTTAACACTTTGAATTTTGGGCGAGTTATTCGAGGAATGGTAAAGATTATATTCATATTAAGTTCATGTGTTGTATTGTAAACACGTATCTCGTAATTCGGTAACTTCCTTCATTTTCTTGTGGAGCAGGCCGAACGCCTGGCAGTATATAGATGCATCTATAGATCGTACTGCACGTCCCTCGGCAGTGTACATGTTATTCTGGATCGGGCCGAACGATCTCGGCAGTATCGTGCGTAAATCGCTAGTAGTCCGAATATTCACGAGCTAATGTTTCCACTGATGCCCGACTCTTTATATGGTATTACTTATTTATTTGATATTGGTACTTGACATTTATTAGATGTTAATATAGAATACGAGATTTAGAAATTCATGCTCTAAAGGAAATATTTGGAAGATTATGTAACTTACAGATTTACTCCATTATTGCCATATGCTTCATACCTGCTCATGTTTTATTATATTGATTTATTGTACCTTTAGTAAGTGTCGATGTCGACCCCTCATCACTACTTATCCGGGTTAGGCTAAATACTTACTGGGTACGCATTGATTTACGTACTCGTGCTGCACTTCTGCACTAAATGTGCAGGATCTGACAGGTTCATTTGATGATCATCCTGACGCGTAGGCGCACCTGTTGAGGAGACTTTATGTGAGCTGCATTCCAGGCTATGCATCGCAGTCTACCGAGTCTCCATTGTACTATTCATTTTATTCTGTCTTATTACATTCGGACAATTGTTGCATTATTATTGTACTCCTTAGAAATTTCGCTCATGCACTTGTGACACCGATTTTGAGAGTTTCCTTCGGGTTATTCAGTGTTGTGGTTCGTGTAAACATTTTTATTTACCTTGTAAATTCTATTTTATACTGTTCAATTAAGAAAAAATACGATTTCAAAATATTAAAAATGAGTAATTAAATTGGTAAATCACCGTTGGCTTGCCTGACGGCGGCGTTAGACGCCATCACGACCTATTTTTTGTTGGTTGTATTCATTGCGTAAACGAATACAGTCGATACAGGTTGGTTCCTTTGTATACACCTCTATATTTCGCATTGTTATATTCATTACGCGAATGAATATTGTTGATACAGGTTGTGTTCGTTTGGCAAACGAATAAATAAAGTTTATACAAGTTGTATTCGTTGCGCGAACAAATACAATTGATACATGCTGTAATATAAGTGATACAAGCTGATGACAATTGAAGAATAGCTACGAATGATAATTAGACAAACTATAATTATTTATAATAATTAGGCTCTAAATTGTAGTATTTTATGAAAATTTCTCAAAAACGAAAACTGTCACTAAGGTCTTAGGTTTGCTTCCATATATATTTAACATACATACACTCCTTTTTAGAGAATCGACACGTATAGCTGCTCTAATACAATATATAACAACTCAATTTACTAGTAATATTATTCGTTTGAGGCCTAGGTCAGTAAAATTTTAAAAATTTTAAATTACGCAACTAGGGTATAAAGTTTGCTTTCTTAGGTGAGATTTGAGATTGGCTTATGGTGTCACGCCATACTATTTGAGCACTAATTTTAAGAGTGTAACGTATATGTAATGTTTTTAGATAAGCCACGTATATATATATACTAGTTACGATTAGCCGCGGGCATAGCCCAATAGCATCAACTATATCCAAGAAAGCATCAGCTGTCATAGGTAAATGGGAACAAAATACATATAATCAGTTCATGTATAGACGCAACCACCCAAAAGTTTTGCAGTTAACAAAAATGAGCACTGATCAAGAGTTTACAGTGTCTAAATGAAGATTTATCTCTTCTTGTGTTTATATTTATGAAGTTGGTGCAAGAGTTATGAGGAGTGAGGTTAGCGTAGAATTCAATTCCAATTTCCGGACCATATGAAACATTGGTCACCGTCTCGTCATGATCGTTCTTATAAAATATGAGCAGGCCAATATGGGAATTTCTTCTCCTCTGCTTCAGTGAGAAATAAAGAACCAAAAGTTGATGTATGTCATATCTCTAAGACATGAGTCTTCAGTGAGCAGTATGGCATTTTTTCTGGTCTCCTTTACAACCTTTTCCTTGACTCTCTGATCATTCCTAGGGTAATAAAAAAATGAAAGAGCTTACAGTTAAAGATGGTTTAAAAAACAAATAAGCTGCCGATTTTTTCTTATCAAGAACCAAGTGTTGTAACTGAAAACATAAAAGAATTTCAGCAGTTGAGCAAGAATGCCGAAGAATTCCTGGTGTTAAATGAATATATTTTTGATCTGTACAGATTCAGTTCAGCAAAATATAAAATAATTGAAACATAAGGCCAGGCATATATGACTTGCCCCTTATCAAGTAAGATCTTGAGTAGCTTGAGAGTCTGAGGAAGAGGAGCAGTACCATCAGCTGTTGAAAAATAAATAATTTTGTCATCACATGTTAGCTAAAAAACAACACATAAATTCAAATTGAAATTTGAATTGTAGAGCAGATATATGTTTAGACTTAAATTATCAGAATCAAAACCAGGAGAAGCTCTATGATCTTACATGTTCTTACGTGGCAAGTAAAGAATCTTGAATGTCAATTTGTCCCTAAAAAGTTCACTAATTATTTGAATAGCCAATACAGTGTTCATCCTACCCTTAACAACGTTCAAACTTTCTCGGCAGCAAGTTGATGACTAGTTATTCTATTGTCACAATTTTAGTTCTCTCATTAAGCATATCAATGTATATTGTAAACTAAAAATGATTAACCAGGTAACATTCTTCCTTGAACTGTATCACACAGAATTTAGAATAAATACAGATGTCAATATTTAGATTCATATGCTAGCTTAATCTGATGTACCTGGGGAATTTAGATTCGTGCTCCTTCTGCAACCATTGACGTTTCTCTTTTTTATTTTTTATTTTTTTTTATCGGAGGTAGAATCAACAGTTTTTTCGAGCCTCGTCATCTCCGTATAGTCAGAAACACAGACATCTACCAAAAAATGAGTGAAACTCGAGGAACAAAAATTACAAAGAATAATTTTAGGCAAAAGCAAAATGAAACCCAAATGAAATTACTTAAAAGACTCTTCAATTGGCAATAGAAATAGAAGCAAAGGTACAGCTCATACAAGCAAAGCAAAAATCAGAACTAAATTTTCAGAAGAAGAGACCAAATTCCCTAAAAAATCAGCACTAAGTTAAGCTTGAATGAAGTCTTTTTAATAGCATCTGTACTTACGCGTGGCCAAGCTTGCTGATAAAGTGAGCCCTCTACCAACATTTTGTATGCACACACTTAGTTTACCGTGTAAGATGATTAATTCTTTGAAAAAAGATGGGGCCCGCTTTATTTATAATTCATCTAATATTATATATCTACACCTCACGCGCTCCATATGCAGTCATTCTGAAATTTCGCTCCTTTAAATATGATATTTATTTCCTTTGGGATTTTTTTGAAGATGGACTCTAACACAAGATTTCTTTTATAACAAAAAGGTTGTATTATTATTCTAATATTTAAAGGAAGAATTAACCTATATAGCACCTATCCAACAACTTAAACAAAAAATAGCCAAAACTTTTGTTAGTCTATGTCTTCCATTTCAAATTTCATGGGAAGCATCAGCTTCATGAATTAGCACCATGAATCATGAATGAATATTATAGGTACTTTTCGTATATCACTTTGATCTACACTGAGCAGACCCACTTTGGTGATTATTTATTTGACTGAGTATAGAAGAATCCCAAAATGAATTATAACAGGAGTTGAGACATAGCTCCATAATTTCAAAACAACAATGAATTTCTCTGCTACCCTCAAATGAAAAGAGAGTAAAAGAATAAGAACCAATCTAAGTATTTGGAAGAACAAAGATGAATAGAATCATAATCCTACTTAGGACAAATAAATCAATAAAGCATTTGAAGAAAGTCAAATAAAAAAAGTTAATTCCGACAGTTTTTCCTTATTGAAGCAAAATTCCTTGAAATAGCGTAAGTAAGGAAGCAAATCAAAGTGATATTAAATAAACAAAGAAACATCCACAGAGACTATCAATAAAAATTAATGCGAGAAGAACTGAAAATTCATATTAATCAGTGATTGACATACCAAGTTAAACTATCATAAACCGCAAAAGAGCAGAGCGCGAGAAATAGGAAATTAGACATGAATTTTTGACACAAATTCATGCTTTTTGTAACCCATGAAGGAAAAGAAAAAACAAAGAAGGTCAGTGCAATAAACATCATATTTGAAGCTTAATTTACTGAGTCAAAATCAAATTAAGACAGTCCACAAACATCCGTAGTTTCTTTCGGACAATTTATCAAATACCCCTGATGCATGTCCGGATGTGGTATCTAAATAATACATTGAAATCGATTCTTACTGCACTTTTGAAGAGTTGAAAGAAATGATGAAGTATTCCGTCATTCATATAAAATAGAAGCATTACCTTGAAATTGTCGGAGCAGCAGTCACTATAACCCCTGATTAGCAAAGACTGTGTTCTTCAGAGAAACCCGATATCAAAACCAACCAAAATACCAAAAGAAGATCTTTCAAACCAGTGGACACCGCAGCCAAAGTCCGAAATTCGCAGAGAAAAAGCTAAAGCAATCCAAACGAAAATAGAGAGCAGCAGCTAACGGAGAGGTTTTGACCAATATTGTTGCTTCGAGCGAGTGTAGGTCTATTTTGGTCCCTCAAATATAACGCTGAGCATATTTAGTCTCTTAATTATGCTAAAGTGGAGCACCTTTAATTTTACCGATACAATATATTCAAAAACTAACGGTATTACCCAACTCTGATTCATAAAGCAAATCTTCTGCTCTAAAGCAAAATATTCCCTCTTATTTTATTGGATAACGCAAATTATCACTTTAATTCCTCATTTTTAGATAATTTCTCTTGAAAATATCCCATTATGTACTAGTTTTCAATGAGAAAATGACACTGTATAACTGCTGTTAAAATAATAGCCAAAAAAATATATAAAATTTATAAATTATTTTGTGTATATATATACATTTAAAAATTTCGGTTGATTTTTCCAAAAAAAAAAAGTTAAAATTTGAAAAAAATAGAGCTGCCAGGATCACTTCTAGGCATATTATTGAAGCAA